GATTAGTTATTTTTCATTTGACTTTTTTGGATCATTTTTGATAATTTACTATTTTTTTTGCTATTAAGGTGACTTCTTTGGTATTTTGCCTTTTATTAATGTTTTTGGTAATGTGTACTATACAAGAAGAGTGTACAATTGGTTACATGTATAATTTTTTTATATTACTTATTTAAGGAGTCTGCCAAAGGTTCTCTATTAATTGCTATATCTAATATTCTTGTTTTGGTGTTTTATTTTAAACTCTCTGAACTTGCAACCTGTGTTAACATTACTGAATTATTCTCAGATTATCATCTCAACCTTAAGATTATTTTATTCTTAAAGTAACTCTTTTAGAGTCTTTTTTATTTATTTATACAGTTGATCTAGTATTATTATAATAGAATTAACATTTGCAGTTAGGATTAACTATTAAACTACTATGTTCTTATAGAGTTTACTTAAACTCTAATACTATTTTACAGCATATCTGAAATATTTTAGTATATATTTATATTGTTTTTAGATTTTTAATTCAAATAATCTAATAGAAATACAATTAGTCTATTGGTATATTAGATCAACTTAATATTTTTTTTTAATTCAATTTTGGTAGCCTTGTTGATAAAATTTTTTATTTTGAGATTTGTATTTATCTAATTCTCTTATATTGATATCTGTTTTATAAGATTAATTTTTACAATAATGCTATTAAGGGTAGGATAAACATAGATCATTTTTTATATGACTTAGATAGTATAATGAATTTTTATATAGTAAATTAAAATGTGTTATTAATAAAACTTTTTTATTTTTTAATTAATTTTTATTAAAATTCAATAATCTATAGATTTAAATAAATTATTTATTATGCTAAAATTTTATAAGATATTTAACTTAAAAAATATATATTTTTATATATTTTGAATTTTCCTAGAACACTCTATGTTTTTTCTAGGTTGTACAAAAAAGTCAACTTTAATTGGTTAATTTTTAAAAAACTATAAAAGAATTTTAATAGTAAATTTTTATATCTAATCTTTAAAAATTCATATATTGATGAGTTTTAAACCAATTTTAATTATTTTATTATTGTTAGAATTACAAGAATTTACTTTACAACTTTACTTAAGAGCTTAAAAATATTTAATTAGTAAAAATTTTTGTAATTACAATTACAAAAAAAATATACCATTAAGTTTATATATAATTTAAAATAGCATGCTCTATCTTTAAAAATTCATACTACTTTTCTATTTAGGTCTTTTCAAATAAATTTTTTGTTTTCTAATTTTTATAGATTTATATAACTATATAAGTTTATTTAAAGTTTGTACTACTCAATACTAGTTTATATCTCTCTGTATAACTTGTTATATAGATACTTTATAATTTGTTAGTTATATTGATACAATTAATTATAAATATTTTAATTTAATTATTAAAAACAGTTACTGTAATATGAATATTACATAGATAATTATTCAAATTTTTAGCATTAATAGGTTTTAAATACTTAACCTACTATTTGATAGGTTGACAACTTATCTATTTTACCAAGTTATTACACTTTTATTTACTATTTTTATATAGTAATGTTGATCTATATATTATTAATTATATATTATAATCTTATAATCAATTATGACTTATAAATTTACTAATAGATTATAATTAAAATTATACAGAATTAAATGTAAGGAGTTGAATTCTATAATTTAATAGTAAAATTATTAATTCTCACAGACTAGATTAATAGTTTAAGTTAGACTAAAACTAAAATCTAAGAATTTAAAACTTTAGAATTTAAAATAATAACAAAATTAAATACAAATACAGATCAAATAAAGAAATATTTGTGTCATATTGATATTTTTTTAAACCTAATATTAAACTGATATTAGTTAAAATTTGGCTTAAATTAGAAACCTATAGAATAAAAATTAGTGTTATATTATCTTTAAGCAATATTAGTAATCTGGTAACTTTATAAAAGTATTAATAATATTATTAATTAATTAATTAATAGTTATTAATTAATTAATAATACTATTACTTTTCTATAAAGCTATCATATTACTAATATTGGTTAAAGATAATATGACACCAATTTTTATCTTATAGGTTTCCAATTCAAGCCAAATTTCAACTAATATCAATTTAATATTAGGTTTAAAAAATTTTAATATAACACTAATATTTTTTGTTTGATCTATAAAAGTTTTGTAAAAAATTCTAAGATAAAGTATAAAAATAAATTAAAAATTTTTAGAAAGAAATCAACTTTGCAAAAAGAAGACATTATATATAATAATAATATTATAGAAAATTTTATTATATAAAGTATTATATATATAAGTCCTCTAAAAAACAGAGTAATATCAACATCTCTATATCTAATTTGCAATAATTTAATTGAAAGAGTAATATAAATATAACTAAACTAAAATAGTAGGTAATACAAAGTATATAAAAAAGATCTATATTAAAAAATTAATCTAACTAAAATTGAAACATCTTAAATAGATATTATAAAAATATAGATAAGCATGCATTATAACCTTGTTAATAGTTATTATAACTGTATATAATAAGTCAATATTCTAAACCTTTTTATAATACCAAGTTAATAATATATATATAAACATGTTAACAAAATTTAGACAAATCCTAAACCTTTAAAAAATAATTACTAGTTATAAAAAATTAAATCAAACAAATAATTCTAAAATTTTATAAATATATTCTTTATAATTATAAAAATATATTTAATTTATTTAAATAATAATTAATAATAAAATTTTTAAGTTATGAATTTGACTAGTTTGTTCACTTTAAATAAACTTAAAATAAACAAACTCAAATGGTTTAATCAAATTCATAGTTTAAAAATTTTATTAATAATTATTATTTAAATAAATTAAATATATTCTTATAGTTATAGAGAATATATTTAAAATTTTAAAATTATTTGATTTAATTTTTATAATTAGTAATTATTTTTTAGAGGTTTGAGATTTGTCTGAATTTAACCAATATGTATATGTATATGATTAGTAGTACACTTATAGAAAAACCTACAAAAAACATATTCAATCAAGATATAGATCAAACCAACTATAAAAGTATAATTGAAAAGAGTATATAATAAATTGTAGATTGATAATTCAGAATTTAATAAATTCAATTATGCCAATAAGATATTAGGACGTTTATTAAGCTATATATACCAAATTGGTAGCAACAAGAACAAAAAACTGCAAAAGTTGACCAATTTGAGAGAAAGAAAGATTGCTGCAAGAAATGAACTAATGACCTGTGCTTAGGTTAAGTAAAAAAAATTATAATATAACAAAGTAACTACAACCTTACTAATAACTAGTAATTATAATTGAAATACATAGTAAATGCTATAAAATATATATATATATGTATAGATATAATGTTACATTGGTTGTCTCGAGCAAAAAGTAATTTAGTAGCACAAATGTAATGTACCTATATGTAATAATAATGCAAAAAGCTAATAAAGTATAAGTTACAATTTAGCATTATAAAAAAAAAAGCATTGGATATGACCTAAAATGGTCAAAACTGATATGCAATGCTAAATAGTAATGTTTGCTAATAACCAAATTTTTATTACTTATTGGCTCTATGCTAGTTCTCGGCTTGATTTGATTAATTTTAAGGTCATGGAACTAACAATTTTTGCAGAATGCTGTCAAATTTGGCTTCCAATTGGATTATTGAACTTTTCAATAGAACTTTTTAGTAGTAAAGTTCCAGTGGTACTACCAATTTTGATTTCGGGTAATCTTTCGTTGACAATACTGAACTATGGTATTAATTTGGTATATGATTATTGTTGTCAGTCACCGTTTATACGTATTAAGTTTAGGGTAGAAGCACGAGCTTTACATCAGATGTTTATTAAACTTGCAATTTGACCCTATTGATGTTACTATTAATTCAATATCATAGCTAGTTTCTAACCATGATCTGTTACGTATTTGCATTGTTAAGTTTTTAGAGCCCCCTAGTTGGAATTTTCTAATAGTAAAAGTTCCATCGGTACTGTTAGCTTTGGTTTCCAGTGAATTTTAATTGACAATGCCGGTATTTTATGTTCAATTGCTTATGTCTAATTAATTTGAAGTTAATACTTTATTGAAACTTGCAAATTTGCAACTTTAATATTACTTGTAATTAGTTATGAAATAATTATAACATAACTATATAGCTACTTTATACGTAGTAATTCTATTTTACATTTACTATATGTTAGCAATACGCCTGCTACTACTTACTAATATTTTACTACTATTTTACTATATTTTTACTAAAATTTTATTAAAAAGTTTTTTAAATATACTATTTTACTGTATGTTTACTACAATTTTATTAAAAATTTTAGTAAATATATAGTAAATAATAGTAAAATAGTAGTAGTAATAGTAGTAATAAGTAGTAGTAGGCGTAGTGCTAACTATTTTATAGTTACTTAATAGCTAATTACAAGTAGTATTAAGGCTACAATTGCAAGGTTCAATAAAGTATAAGTTATGATAGTATGTTATGTTTTTTAAATTTTGTAAATTAATACTTCAAATATTTCGCACAATATGCACACCTTAGTAAGATATTTACAAGGAAAAAACCAATACTAATCTTGTATTACTATTATCGAGGCGGTATCTTACATAGAATGTTATTCTGATCTGTGGAGTATGGTTGCCTTGTGTAAAAATAACTTTAGACTTAATATATTTTATGCAATTGTTGTTGATCATATAACACATATACTAAACCGTAAATTAGTTGTAGCACATTATATATCTATATGCAGATAATGCTTTTTTTGGTTGGATAGTAACACATTGCATCGCATTGTGTGTTTGATCCATTATATAAATTTGGTCGTTTTCTTTATTCATCCACTTTGATACCTAATTCTGATCTATAAGGTTTAATATCATTTCCTATATAAAAAAAAGCAGAAACTAGAATTTACTCTTATGGATACTGAGGAAGAACCAAAGGTACTTTAAAGATTCTATTGGTTTAATTATCTATATTTTCCTTTTATATTATATTGAATTTCTTTAAAATTCATTCTCATTAAATAGTCAAGTGAAACTCTTGATGAGTCGATTGTGGATGATACTGAAGAAGACGAGCAAATAAGAAAATCTGCCGGTACTTATGCATATACTGTCTATTAAATAATTACTTCATTATCAATATTTAAGCTGTGTTTTATATAAAAGAACCAAAGTTGGCAAAAGTTGAATATGATTATCAAGCCAAAGAAGGTGATGAATTATCTCTTGATAAAGGTGATGTGGTAACCGTGTTAGAACAAGTTGATCAAGGATGGTGGAAAGGTGACCTGAATGGCAAGATTGGCATGTTCCCTGCGAATGTGAGTTTACTATCTATACATTTATGACAGCAAGGATAATTAATTTATTTTAAAAAATATAAACAAACATAGCGTGTGAAATTAATTGAAGTGCCGAATAAAACTGATGATGATGATGCTGATAACGCAGAGAGTCAAGGTTAGCAATGTTCACTATTTTAAGGGTTCCAATTGTATATGTAAGTCTAAATAACCTGTCATAGGTCATTTACCAAGAAAATTAAAGACTTACGGTGTCAGGCCCGGAGGAATTGGCAGTCTATTTTCTGGTGGTATACCCTTAAAAAGTAAACGAAGTCAATCTTCTAAAACTGATGATGCTTCTGCATTAAAAAAGACCAGTAGTCGCAGTGCATCAGATGATTCTGAATCCACAAAAGATGATAAATTAGCTTCCCCGCCTATGGTATGAATTATTAGTACAACCTTGAAATTTTCCTATGGTGTTTATGTTATTACAGAATTGTATTGTTTTTATACCCGCAATCTTAATTAATATATTCCTTTGAAGGTTGCAAAGGCTCCGTTGCTGCCGCCAAAAAAACGACGTACCAAGCAAAATATTGGTACATGTGCTTTTTACTTAAATGTATAAATCCATTTGTATTATCTGATATCATTTCTAACTAGTTGTGAATTGCGGTGCTCTGTGATATTTGATTCGTTAGCCACTGTTATGTATGATTATGATGCTGAAGAAGAAGGTTCGTAGATTATTGTGTTTTCGAATAAGTCATCTGCTGGCTTACTATTTATTAAGCAAATTAAAATTTTTATTTTAATAGGTGAAATTTCATTAAAGGAAGGGGCAACAATTACAATTTTGGAAAAAACAGATGATGGTTGGTGGAGAGGAAAAAATGAACAAGGAGAAAGTGGAATATTCCCTTCTACATACGTGACGGAGGTTAAGGCAACAGATGTTAGTCAAGCGGTGGAAGAAGCTGACAGTGAAAAACCTGCTAAAGCTGAGGAACAAAAACTGCCGCCCATTTCCACAAGTCCAAAACGTACAAAGTCATCAGATGTTGCGGTACCTGAACAACCTACTTCCCCACGAACCACGCGCCCACTGTCGTCACATTCACAAACTGATATTAATGTAAGAGAAATCACCGAAGATCCTAAATCACCTGCAGTACCCCCAAGACGACCCACAAATCCCTTAAGCAATCGGACATCCACACACGAAGACTCGTCAAATCGACAGTCTTTTCATGAATCCACTGATGAATCACCCCCAATTCCTCGACGAAGTACTAGTGAAAGTAGTGAATCCAAGGCAACTCGTCGACCTCCCTCACTTGTTTCCCCAGACCTTCCTCCAATTCAATATCAATCACCTCGCCATCCATCGAAATCCACACTTCCCGGTGTTCCAATAGATACTGATAAGTCGTCAGACTCTTATTCTGAACTTACAGCCTCACCGATCTCTCCTGTTGAACGTCCCATCCCTCCTAGACCCAGACCCACATCACAGCACGAAGCCAAGTCCGACTCTCCTAAATCACCACCTTTAGCAAAACCACCTACAATTCCAAAGACACCATTTTCTCCAGCAAAACCACCTACCGTTCAAAGAAGATCAACACGTAAAGATTCCAAGAATATGCCGGGAGAAACAAATTCGGAGACATCCGAAGAGCAAGCCGAAAAAATAGAGTCATTATCAGAACATCAAGAAACTTATGATGACGAAGATTCAAAATCGCGTGAATATAGCGAAACAATTGAAGACGGCGATAATGATGACGACGAATCTTATGCTGACGAAAAAGGAACTAACGAACAAAAAGATATTGATGTAGATTCTAAAAAAGAAACTGATATTCAGCAAGCTGATACAGAACATGACGATACAGATGATCAGAATGATCAAGGAGATACAGTTAATCAAGATAATGAAATTAAAGAAAAACAACCAGAATCCCCCGTAGTCACACCTACTCCAAGATTACCTAGCTTGGGTGTTAAGGAAAGGCCATCTAGAAGCAGGCCTCCGACAAAGAATATAAAAAATCCTAGTCAGTCTGAATTATTAGAGCAGGAAGTCGCAATGGTAAATTTAATAGTGTCGATAAATCTATTCCTTTATAAAATAATTAATTTATCTTTAATGGATAATTCAGACTAAAGATGAAGAACCACAAAAATCCCAAGTTACACCACCCAAACCAGAAAAGCCCGTTAAGCCAAACATGTTCAAGCTGCCGATTGTTGGTGCTGGAGTTCCACCAGTTACGTTGCGGCCTACTGTAAAAAGGGTAGTTGAACCTCCAGCTTCAAGTTCCGATCCTTCTGAGCCTTCAACAGTAACACCTTCATCCAATACTGATTCCAAACCTATCGGTAGTGTGAAATCGATATCAAACAGGTTCAATATGCCTAATGTTTCTAGCAATTCCGAAATAGAATTTCGATTAAAAAGATGGTTTAATGAAGAAATTAATAAAGTTAAAGCGAACTTTGAAGCTCGGCTAGCCGAAGAGAGAAGTAAGAGGGAGGCACTCGAAGAAATAGTTAGAGAATTGCAAGAAAGGTTGGAAGAGTAAAAGAGCTAAATTAATTAGATAAAATATTTAGTTTATATATTTATTTCAATTATTTTTGATTTCACATATGATCATTATAAATGACGATTATTAGGCTAGTGTTAACTTTATGAGTAAACTTCATTTATTTATAAATTAGAATTGAGAGATAAAATTATTTATTATGCTCTGTATCCGCATATCTGATAATTAACTGATTATGTTATTTCGAAATTCGTGTCCTCTAAAAGTAGTATAGCGCCCATGCGCGTCCCGAAATAAAGCACACTTTAAATTCACGTGATCACGTGCCAATGGTAAAATCTGAGCCGCATTATACATAATTTTGGCCAGATTTGATTTTTTTTTAATTCCAAAAATAGAGGTTTGCCAAAAAAATCATAGTCACGTGATGACTATAAAAATCCCTAATTCGTTAAGATTAGGGTTAGCGTTATATTATGATCAGATAATAGCGAGAGTACATTAGTATTTGTTAGTGCATTAAAGGTGGTAAATTTTCGAGTTATAGGGCGATTTTTAGTAAAATGACGTTTGTTTTGATTTTCCTGATCGTGCAACGGTACACCTGATCTTGTAATCTCATTGGCTTGCAACACTGGGGCTTCCGATATACTAATTAATCAAAATCATGTGAGATGCAATAATAATATTACTATTAAATTTTGTGCATAAATCCGATCTGCAAACCTTTTACTAACGAAAAACTAGTATCCAAAAAATTGATTCACCTCGTGTACTATACATGTGGTCGAAATGTTTCGACCATTTCGGCCACTTGGCAAATGTTCGAAGTAAAGTTATCAATAATTTGTAAATATGATAGAAATTAAGCTTCATATATGTTAAGCTA